GAAAAGCACCATCAGTTTTAATGCCGCTGCTCTGGCCCTGGGAACTAACAACCTGGACATCCACTCAAGAGACCTAATCTGAAAGTTGGTAATTTCAAAGACGACAGGAGGATAAATTTACAATGACGGGAAGAAACCAGCGTAAAAAAGCTGAGAATACTGAAAGTCAGAATGCCTCTCCCTCTAAAGATGATCACAGTTCCACATCAACAATGGAACAAGGCTTGATGGAGAACGAGCGCCTCCTGATGACAGAATCACTCTTCAAGGAATGGATAATAACAAACTTCGGTGAGTTAAAAGAACATGTTGTAGCCCAATGTAAAGAAACTAGGAACTTTGAAAAAAGGTTTGATGAAATTCTACTGAGAATAGACAACTTAGAGAGGAGTATGAGTGAATTAATGGAACTGAAGAATACAATACAGGAACTCCGAGAAGTATGCACAGGTTTAAACACTCGAATTGTTCAAGCAGAAGAAGGGATATCAGAGGTCAAAGTCCAACTTAATGAAATAAAACGCCAAGAAAAGATTAGAGAAAAAAGGATAAAAAGGAATGAGCAAAGTCTCCAAGAAATGTGGGACTATGTGAAAAGACCAAATCTATGTTTGATAGGTGTCCCTGAATGCGACGGAGAGAATGAATCCAAGATGGAAAATACCCTTCAGGAAATTATTCAGGAAAATTTTCCTAAACTAGCAAAGCAGGTCAACATTCAACCCCAGGTAATACAGAGAACACCACAAAGATATTCCTCAAGAAGAGCAACCCCAAGGCACATAATCGTTAGATTCACCAGGGTTGAAACGAAGGAGAAAATACTGAGGGCAGCCAGAGAGAAAGGTCAGGTTACCCACAAAGGGAAGCCTATCAGACTTACAGCAGATCTCTCAGCAGAAACTCTACAAGCCAGAAGAGAGTGGGGGCCAATATTCAACATCCTCAAAGAACAGAACCTTCAGCCCAGAATTTCATATCCAGCCAAACTAAGCTTCACAACTGAAGGAAAAATAAAATCTTTTATGAACAAGCAAGAACTCAGAGATTTTATTACCACCAGGCCTGCTTTACAAGAGCTTCTGAAAGAAGCATTACACACAGAAAGAAACAACCAGTATTAGCCTCTCTAAAAATACACCAAAAAGTAAAGAGCACCAACATAAAGAAGAATTTACACCAGCGAATGGATAAAACAGCCAGTCAACATCAAATGGCAGTAACCCTAAATTTAAATTGACTAAATCCCCCAATCAAAAGACACAGCCAAAACCCAACGGCATGTTACATCCAGACCTGTTTCACATGCAAGGATACACAAAGACTCAAAACAAAGGAATGGAGAAAGATTTACCAACCAAATGGAGAGCAAAAATAAATAATAAATAAATAAAAACCAGGAGTTGCAATTCTCGTATCGGATAAAATAGATTTTAAAGCAACAAAGATATAGTGGTAAAAGGATCAATGCAACAACAAGAGCTAACGATCCTAACACCCAGATACATAGAGACTTAGACACAATGAGACAGAAAATTAATAAGAATATCAAGGACTCGAACTCAGATCCGGAACAAGTAAACTTAATAAATATTTATAGAGCTCTTCACTTCAAATACACAAAATATACATTCTTGTCAATACCACATCACACCTACCCATAAGCTTAAATGAAACATTGATTGGCCATCATTAATACCCAATTTTTTTCAAAATAAAGCAATATTTCCATTTACTCTCCCTCTTTCTCTTCCTCTTTCTTCCTCTCCTTTACTTATTTTTTTTTTCTTTCCTTCTCTCAAAAAAAAAGAAATCAACTTGCAAACCTCTAGATCCAGGTCGGCAATGTCTCTCTCATTGCTTGATTTCCTTCCTTCCCTTCCCTCCCTCCCTCCCTCCCTCGCCGCTTCCTCCCTTCCTTCCTTCCTTCCTCCCTCCCTCCCTCCCTCCCTCCCTTCCTTCCTTCCTTCTTTCCTTCCTTCCTTCATCCCTTCCTGCCTTCCTCCCGCCCCCCACCAAAAAAAATAATAATAATGAAGAAGAAAGTAACAAGAGATATAACCACGGTAGTTATTAGTTATTCATAGGCGATCTTAGTTATTCATAGGTAATTTTAATTCTTTTACTAATGCCTCCCAGGTCAGAAGTGTGAACCTGGGGCGACATTGTGAAATGAATGACTCTAAGGCAAGACGATTTAAGCCCTCTGTCATGCCTGCCTAAGGGCTGCTGGAGGGTTCCTTGGCTGAGTGGCAGTGCCAGTGCCGGGAAAGTGCCCGCAGTTTAGTCAGCTAGGGAAGAAGACGTCTAAAATAGCTCTTGTAGTGGGCCTGATGCGGCCAGGTAGGCCCGCAGACATCCAGGGGCTTAACTGTCTCTATGTGATGCTGTGCTTCAGTGGTCACGCTCCATGTCCACTCTCATGTTCTGCTTCTGGTTCCTTTTTTTCTTAGAAGAGATAATCAGTAAAAGTAATATAAATCTTACTGTCTTTATTCTTTTATTTTTTTTTGAGACAGAGTCTTGTTCTGTTGCCCAGGCTGGAGTGCAGTGGCACAATCTCGTCTCACTGCAACCCCTACATCCCAGGTTCAGGCAATTCCCCTGCCTCGGCCTCCTCAGTAGCTGGGATTACAGGTGCGTGCCACCACGCCTGGCTAATTTTTTTGTATTTTAGTAGAGACGGAGTCTCACCATGTTGGCCAGGAAGGTCTTGATCTCCTGACCTTGTGATCCACCTGCCTCGGCCTCCCAAAGTGTATTACAGGCATGAGCCACTGCCCCCGGCCTGTTCTTTCTTAACAAGTATGGAAAAGTGCTGATGCATTATGCTCCTTACCTCATCTCGGCTACCTGAAAATCTTGAGCCCCTACCTGTAAGACATGTGATGTACTTGAGCCTATCACTGCCACGCCCTATTCACCCTGCCCCCAATTGTAGACCACCAAGGCCATGCCCAACCTGCGCCCTACCAACCCTGCCCACAGATTTGCAACTCAATAAAAGTGAGAGCGTCCAGGCATTCGGGGCTACTGCCAGACTCTGCCCTTTGGTTGGCAGTGGACCACAGGGCCAGACCTCTCTTTTCTCTATCTCTGTGTGTTGTGTCTTTTATTCCTACAATTTCTCACCTCCACGCCAGCAGGGAGGGGCTCACAGAACCCTGTAGGGCTGGAGCCTACATAGCATGAGAAAGACAGGCCCTCAGGATTCAATTACTTCCCTCTGGGTCCCTCCCACAACATGAGGGAATTCTGGGAGATAAAATTTAAGTTGAGATTTGGGTGGGGACACAGTCAAACCATATTATGAACTAAGACAGAAAGAAACATGTTCTAATGAATCTTTTCAGGAGGCTGAGGCAGAAAGATCGTGTGAGCCCAGGAGACTGAGGCTGCAGCGAGCTATGATTTTGCCACTATACCCCACAACCTGGGTGACAGTGAGATCCCATCTCAAAAAAATAAATTAGAAAAAGATAAACTGCAGAGCATAAATGTTATGGGCTACTTTTGACAGAGGAATCAAATCTTCCTGGCCAAATTTAGACTTGTGTAGGTTAGGGGAAATTGACTAATACCGTGGCCACTGAATGATAACTCACAAGGGTAACAGTTAAAGTTGATAAAATTTTAAATGCATACAAAACCAATGTATAAATCAACTTTTCCTCACAAAACCAACAACTGAGAATACTCTTCGAGTTTCATAACATCAGTCCAGGTTCTGGGGCTCATACCTGTAATCCCAGCTCTTTAGGAGACTGTAGGGGAACAACTTGAGACCAGGAGTTTGAGATCATCCTGGATAACATAGCAAGACTCTGTCCTTAAGAAAAGAACCTCAAAAGCAATGTTGTATGAAAGGGAGTTATAGATGGATATATACAGGAAAATAGTCTAAATAGTAGAATACTATCTATAGAGTAGAACAGCATTACTGAAGTTTAGAAACACATTAATAATACTGTAATTGTTTACGGACACACACATATGAAGGTAAAAGGAAGGGTGCAAATCCACTTTACAATAGCAGTTATCTATGAACACGATTTCAAAAAGGGCAACAAATATATCTATAAATGTTTTGGGCCAGTTGCAGTGGCTCATACCTGTAATCTGAGCACTTTGGGAGGCTAAGTTGGAAGTATTACTTGAGCCCAGGAGTTCGAGACCAGACTGAACAACATAGTGAGACTTTGTCTACACAAAATATAAAAAAAATTAGCGGGTGTAGTGGTTGGTGCCTATGGTCCCAGCTACTCAGGAGGCTGACACGAGAGGATCGCTTGGGCTTGGGAGGTTGAGGATGCAATCGCACCACTGCACTTCAGCTTACACAGCAGAGCGAGACCCTATCTCGAAAACAATACAAAACAAAAATTTGGCAGGGTGCGGTGCCTCACGCCTGTAATCCAAGCACTTTGGGAGGCCAAGGCAGGCGGGTCACGAGGTCAGGAGTTCAAGACCAGCCTGGCCAATATGGTGAAACCCCGTCTCTACTAAAAATACAAAAATTAGCCTGGCGGTGGAGGCCCGCACCTGTAGTCCCAGCTACTCGGGAGGCTGAGGCAGGAAAATTGCTTGAACCCGGGAGGCGGAGGTTGTAGTGAGCCGAGATCGCGCCACTGCACTCCAGCCTGGGTGACAGAGCCTGGGTGACTCCATCTCAGAAAAAACAACAACAAAAAACCCCACTTGATAACATAGTAATAAATTAGCATTTATCGAATGATAAATATGTGCCAGACTGTTCTAAGCCCTTTCCCTGCATGATCTCAGTGAAGTCTCACAACATTATCCCCATTGCAGGGATGCAGAAATTGAGGCCCCGAGGTTGAAGAGGGGGAGGTAGCAGATGATGCTGGGATGGGCCCCGGACCGTCTGACTCTAAATCCCCAACCTGGGCCCCTACACACTGTCCTAGGGTGGGAGAGGTGGTCTTCGGGGTCCGGGCACCGCAACCACAGCCCAGGCCCGACCGGCCAGCCCCGCGTACCGTGTAGAGCGTCAAGTCGACATGTCGCCACAGCCACCGGTCGTCCACCAGCCTCTTCCAGCGGTGACAGACCCTGCGGGAGGGGACCCATGGTTAGAACGATCCGCATCTCCCCGGGCCACATCCGCACCTCCAGGTGCCAGGTTCACCCTCCGCCCGGCCCTTCCCCCCCGCACCTGGAGATGCGGATCCGGTCCCGTACCGGGAGGTAAGAGAAGATTTCGAGTAGGACCGAGTCCGGCAGTTCGACCAAAGTCGCCATGATCCCGCCAACGCGCACTTCCGCTTCCGGTTAGGGAGACCCCCGAGGGGTCCTCCTGGGGCCGCCGAGGTGGGGTTGACAAGGCGGCGGCCGCAACCTCCCCGTAACCCTCTGAGAAATTTGACTTTCCTCTCGTTGGGAAGTGTTTGGGTCCTAGGGCAGGACCAGCCGCATCCGCGAATGCGGACCGGTTCCAGCTGCGAATGGGGACCAGAACCCGGCCTGGAAAGCGTGGCTGAGGCAGTGAGAGGCCTGGGGGACGTGGCCGAGGCGTGATTTGGCCTGGATTGGGAACTAAGACCAAATCTGGAAGGCGGGCCTGGAGTGAGGCAAAGCTTGGGGGCGGAGCTAGAGACTAGGACCAAGTTTGGAAGGCATGGCTGGGGTGGTGGAAGGATGGAAGCTGGGTTTGAGACGAGAACCAAGCCCGGAAGGCGTGGGTGGGCGAGGCCCAGGGGCGGGACTAGAGAGGAGAACCAAGTCCGGAAGGCGTGGCTGGAGGGAGCGAGGCCCCCTTTTCCTCTTTGAGCAGCACTCCTCACCCCACAGCTCAGCACCAAGACCCTGTGCTTGGGCGATCGTTGAATCAAGCACTGAGAGATTAGAACTTTTTTCAAAAAAAGAACGTTTCCTTTTCCACCCCCGCTGATTACAAAAGTAACATATGTTCAATGTCGGAAATCTGGAAAAACACCACTAAGAGGGAAAATAAGGCCGGGTGTGGTGGCTCATGCCTGTAATTCTAGTACTTGGAGGGATCACTTGAGGCGGGGAGTTTGAGACCAGCCTGGGCAACATAGTGAGGCAGTGTCTCTCCTAAAAGTAAAAAAATCAGCCATGCGTGGTGGTGCATGCCTCCTAGCTACTTGGGAGGCAAAGGAAGGAAGATCTCTTGAGTCCGGAAGTTGGAGGCTGCAGTAAGCTATGATCATGCCACTGCACTCCAGCCTGTGACAGAGTAAGACACTGACTCGAATGAGACTCTAGTAATCCTGCCAGACAGTGGTAAGTATAGCAAATGCTTGTGTGACCCAGGTATTTCTTTGTTTTTAAACGAAGTCTCACTCTGTTACCCAGGCTGGAGTGCAGTGGTGCGATCTGAGTTCACTGCAACCTCTGCCTCCCAGGTTCAGACAATTCTCCTGCCTCAGCATCCCAAATAGCTGGGATTACAGATGCCCACCTCCACGCCCAACTAATTTTTGTATTTTTAGTAGAGATGGGGTTTCACCAATTGGTCAGGCTGGTCTTGAACTCTTGATCTCAAGTGATCCGCCCGACTTGGTCTCCCAAAGTGCTGGGATTACAGGTGTGAGTCACTGTGCCTGGCTGTGACCTAGTATTTCTAAGAGAATGCAAAAATGTGCTGCTTCTAAACTTCCTCAGGCACATCAGCCCCTCAGCTCACTTTTGACCTTCCAATCTGTTTTATCCTGGCTAGAGTCTCCCCAAAAGCAGAGGCAGGGGGGTTCCCACAAAGGAACTCAAATCATCCCCAGATGGGGCCAGTGGGAATTTCAAGGAAACACTAATTACCAGAGCAATCAGTCCAAAGCATTTATTAGGGAAACTTACAGAGTGCTCCAACAATCATCCAGACAGACAGGAAAGAAAAGGAGTGTTCTACCAAGCTTAGAGCTGCGGGTAAGGGGTCAGGACACAGAGTTTAGATGCACAGGTCAGCATGTCTGGATTCCCTTACTATTTTGAGTAATGGACCACCTACTTGTCTGGTGGATGTCAGCTTGACCAAAACAGGAATGTGGAATCTTTCCCTGGGACTGGACGTTCCACAACCTTGGTCCTATCTTTAGATCTTCGTTGTTATTGCTGTTGGTTTTTTTTTTTTAGAGATGGAGTCTCGCTCTGTCACCCAGGCTGGAGTACAGTGGCGTGATCTGGGCTCACTGCAACCTCTGCCTCCTGGGTTCAAGCAATTCTCCTGCCTCAGCCTCCCAAGTAGTTCGGACTACAAGCACACACCACCACACCCAGATAATTTTTTGTATTTTAGTAGAGATGAGGTTTCACCGTGTTGCCCAGGCTGGTCTCAAACTCCTGAGCTCAGGTAATCATCCTGTCTCAGCCTCCCAATGTGCCAGAATTACAAGTGTGAGTTACCATGCCCAGCCTATATTTAGATTTTCAAGGACAGTTTCTGGAATTATTTTATTTTATTTTATTTTGAGACGGAGTTTTGCTCATTACCCAGGCTGGAGTGCAATGGCACGATCTCGGCTCACAGCAACCTCCGCCTCCTGGGTTCAAGCAATTCTCCTGCCTCAGCCTCCCGAGTAGCAGGTGCGCACCACCATGCCCAGCTAATTTTTGTATTTTTAGTAGAGACGGGGTTTCACCTTGTTGACCACCCCAGTTTCTGGAATTCTTTTTTTTTTTTTTTTGAGACGGAGTTTCGCTCTTGTTACCTAGGCTGGAATGCAATGGCGCGATCTTGGCTCACCGCAACCTCCGCCTCCTGGGTTCAGGCAATTCTCCTGCCTCGGCCTCCTGAGTAGCTGGGATTACAGGTATGCGCCACCATGCCCAGCTAATTTTTTGTATTTTTAGTAGAGACTGGGTTTCACCATGTTGACCAGGATGGTCTCGATCTCTTGACCTCGTGATCCACCCGCCTCGGCCTCCCAAAGTGCTGGGATTACAGGCTTGAACCACCGCGCCCGGCTTGGAATTCTTAAGCAAAGTACACAGGTTAAGCATTATGAGAGCTCAGCATAAAAAAACAGAAGAGAGATTGGGCGCAGTGGCTCAAGCCTGTAACCCTGGCACTTTGGGAGGCTGAAGCAGGAGGATTACCTGAGCTCAGGAGTTTGAGACCAGCCTGGGCAACACAATAAAACCTTCTCTACTAAAATACAAAAAATATTTTGGGAGGTCGAGGCTAGCAGATCACCTGAGGTTGGGACTTTGAGACCAACCTGACCAACATGGAGAAATCCCATCTACCAAAAATACAAAATTAGCTGGGCATGGTGGCGCATACCTGTAATCCCAGCTACTGGGATGGCTGAGGCATGAGAATTGCTTGAACCCAGGAGGCAGAGGTTGCAGTGAGCTGAGATCGCACCATTGCACTCCAGCCTAGGTAACAAGAGCAAAACTCCATCCAAAAAAAAAAAAGAAAGAAAAGAAAAACAGAAGAGAGTGATTGTTTCTCAACATGGACTAACATTTTCAATTACAGATTTCCTCACTGTCAATTTTTCATTCAATTTCTAGGGAAAATGGGGTGCTGACTCCAGTCTGGTTACTTCCTGCTCGATGGAGGCATTGACTAGGAATTGTGGAATGAAAAAGATGAATATGACAGAGTGTGTAATGTTTAGGTCCCTTTTCTAGGGGGAGGCAGGATTAAGGGCACTTGTTACAAATTGTTTAGCTTAACCCCAAGGTAGATTCCAATAATAACTAGTAATACAGGTAGCCCTAACTTTCATAAGTAGAGAGATTTAATTCCAGAAGGTATCCAGAATAGGCTAAAAACCCAGTTCTCTACCTCCTGTAGCAGAGGGGTGTGATGACCTAGGGTTTTGTTTTTTTGAGGCCAGAGTCACACTCTTGTCACCCAGGTTGGAGTGCAAGGGTGGGATTTCAGCTCACTGTAACCTCCACCTCCCAGGTTCAAGAGATTCTCATGCCTCAGCCTCCCAAGTAGCTGGATTTATGGGTGCAGGCCCCTATGTGTGGTTTTTTTTTTTTTTTTTTTTACTAGAGACAGGGTTTTCACCATGTTGGCCAGGCTGGTCTTGAACTCCGGACCTCAGGTGATCTACCTGCCTCAGCCTCCCAAAGTGCTAGAATTACAGGCGTGAGCCACTGCCCCCGGCAGGAGGTGGAGGGAGGGTTGGAGAATTCTTAAACCACTGTAGCAGTATACTTCAACAATACTAAAAGGTTTTAGTTTCTGGATCCTGCCATTCAAAAGCAAATAATAGGCCAGGGTGGCTCATGCCTGTAATCCCAGCACATTGGGAGGTCGAGTCGGGAGGATCACTTGATGTCAGGAGTTTGAGACCAGCCTGGACAACATGGTAAAACCCCATCTCTACTAAAAATACAAAAATTACCTAGGTGTGGTGGCGTGTGCCTGTAATCCCAGCTACTTAGGAGGCTGAGGCAGGAGAACCCCTTGAACCCGGGAGGTAGAGATTGCAGTGAACTGATATCATGCCACTGCACTCCATTCTGGGCAACAGAGCGAGACTGTGTCAAAAAATTTTTTTTGGCTGGGTGCAGTGGCTCACTCCTGTAATCCCAGCACTTTGGGAGGCTGAGACGGGTACATCTGAGGTCAGGAGTTGGAGATCAGCCTGGCCAACACGGTGAAACCTCATCTCTACTAAAAAAATTAAGCTGGGGGTGGTGGCTTACACCTGTAATCCCAGCACTTTGGGAGGCCAAGGAGCGCGGCTTACAAAGTCAGGAGTTTGAAACCAGCCTGGCCAATATGGTGAAACCCCATTTCTACTAAAAATACAAAAATTAGCTGGGTGTGGTAGTGCATGCCTGTAATTCCAGCTACTCAGACAGGCTGAGGCAGAAGAATCGCTTGAACCCAGGAAGCGGAGGTTTCAGTGAGACAAGAACCTGCCAATGTACTCCAGCCTGGATGATAGAGGAAAACTCTGCCCCCTCCAAAAAAGAAAACCACACACACAAATTAGTCAGTTGTGGTGGTGAGCACCTGTAATCCCAGCTACTCGGGAGGTTGAGGCAGGAATATCTCTTGAACCCAGGAGGTGGACGTTGCCGTGAGCTGAGATAGCGCCACTGCACTTGAGCCTGGGTAAACGAGTGAGACTCTGTCTCAAACAAAAAATTTTTTTAAAAGGCCAGATACTGGCCGGGCGCGGTGGCTCTCGCCTGTAATCCCAGCACTTTGGGAGGCCAAGGTGGGTGGATCACGAGGTCAAGAGATCGAGACCATCCTGGCCACGGTGAAACCCCGTCTCTACTAAAAATACAAAAAAAAAAAAAAATTAGCCAGCCTGTGGTCCCAGCTACTTGGGAGGCTGAGGCGGAAGAATCACTTGAACCCAGGCGGAGGTTGCAGTGAGCCGAGATTGCGCCACTGCACTCCAGCCTGGCGACAGAGTAAGACTCTGTCTCAAAAAAAAAAAAAAAAAAAAAAAAACAAGGCCAGATATTGCCACAGGTAGCTACTGTATGGTTACTTTATGTTATGGAAAGTGCGGATTTACTGAGTGCCAACTGAATACAGAATGGACTATTCTTCATGTGGATTCAGTAATGTGACTATACTCTCCATCTTTCCCCTCCAGCCCTCTTTTCTCCTTTAAATACTGAAGCCCTCAAAATCATATTGGGAAAAAGCATGGATCACAGATTGTTCCTGGGGTTTTGTGTTCCTTTTTTTTCCAGGCATGTCCTTAACATTGTCTACATAAACCTCTCAATTTACTGAGACCTGTTTCAGATACTTTTTGGCTTATGAATTGTTTGACTGAATTGAGGGAGGAGTGTCCTTGTCCCCACCGGCTCTCACGAACCCAGAATCTGGTACAAAGTGCTCCCTGAAGATATAGATGCAGGATACTGTGTAATTGTGCAATGTTTCCAGCTTCCTCGCGGGCATTTAAGGTTGGTGACTGGTAGTGAGGCAGGAGAATATGGAAAATAAGGCATAAGAATAGCAAAGGGAATTAAAAGCTGGATAAAGGGCAAAATAAGTCGAGAGCAGAAGCAAGGTGAAGGGGAGGGTGAGAAAAAAGGAAGATAAAAGGCAGAAGCCGAGCAGCAAAACAAAAGGAAAATAAAAAACTGAGCAAGGATCCCATGGTCGGCAAAATCCAGACCAAACTAATAAGGGGCAGCTCTTCAGGGATAGTTAAGTGCATTAAAGACAAAAAGTACCCTTAACATAAGGATGATAATCAGCTCATTAGCGCTCATGCATATGGAGGGTATATCACGCAAGAACTTAAAATTAACGCATGGAGGCGGCCCTCAAGCGCACAGAGGTCAAAGTAACTAAGCAACACACATATCAATCAAAAAGGCAGACACTGGCTAGAGATTAGGCAGCCTTGGGAAGAAAAGAAAAAAAAAACACATAAAAAGAACCAAACTACACCAAGCTGGGGGTGATCTCATCTCGCAGAGGTCAGTCTGCTCTCCCACTTCGACTGGAATACTGTGCTTACTAAGGTTGCTGCTTTGCTATCGCTGTGTGTCTCATCCAAATCTTGTTCGGGACACCAAGAGCCTGGAACTGTGAGGCACCATAAGGTAACAGCAGCTATTGGGCAGCGTGGAGTCTAGTCCAGGATCAGGCTTCGCCTACTGACTGGAGTCCACATCCCCGGGGGACGCGACGGCCAGAGGGCAGAGGTGAGCAGAATGCTCACGAGGCCCTGCCCTGAATGAACCCAAGGGGTCAGAAGGGATAACTGCAGGACTCGCATCTCCCACCCTCCGCCCTCGCTCCTCGTAGTTGCAGCAAGAGGCTTCGGGCTCAGGATCAGAAGGAGCTCATCCCGAACCCCGGGACCTTCTGGCGTCCTCACCATGCGACCGAATCTCCCCGCAATGAACAATGGCTTCAAACGAGCTGGGAGCCGGCACCGACCTCTGGCTCTCGTTCCACACCCCTTCCCCGTCCCCACATCCGCCGAAGCCCCCGGTTCTACCCCGTGTGCCTACCACAGGCGTCCGCGTGCCAAGCCGTGCTTGGGACACCGAAACCGTACCTGGGAAGAGCAAGCACACTCCCTACCGCAAACACGGAAGAACTTAACCCAGTGTTGACCACACCCCCTGGCCAGGGGCGGGGCTTCCGGCTCCTCACTTTTACTTCCGCTTCCGGTTCCCAGCGTTAACTGCGGCCGGGGTTCAGCGCTCGTACGAGGACCTAGTGGCGTCGGCAGGTTCGAGGCGATTCGAGGTGAGGGGGTCAAGCGGAGAGGCCCGCAGTCGGGGAAAGCTGTCGCGCCCCCGCCACCCAGGGTCTGGGGTCAGTGGCAGGTGAGACCATAGAGTTTTGTGGCCGGGCCTTCTGGCGGCGAGAAGTGGAGGCGCGGCTGCCTGGGGTTCGCGGTCTTGGGACGCGGGATTTGGGGCCTGGGAGTATTCGAGTCCGGGGGGTTGAGGGCAGAATGGAAGGCTCAGTAATAGGGATTTTTAGGGCCTGGGATTGGGAGACTTGTAAGCTGGTTCTTCTTGGCCTGGGAGACCCCTGAAAGTCTAACTCTGTTGCCTCCCACCCCCGCGCTCCTGTGTAGCTCCAGCTAGGATGATCGAGGTTGTTTGCAATGACCGTCTGGGGAAGAAGGTCCGCGTTAAATGCAAGTATCCACTGGCAGCCGAGAGGCAGTGGTACCCGCAGGGGTGCTTGACGTGAGGCGGGTAACTCAATCTGTGTTGTCGGAGGGCTTTAGTTAAACCCGGGAGAGGCCGAGCGCGGTGGTTCACCCCTGTAATCCCAGCACTTCGGTAGGCCGAGGCGGGCTGATCACGGGGTTAACAGATTGAGACCATTCTGGCCAACATGGTATTTTTAGTCTCTACTAAAAATACAAAAATTAGCTGGGCCTGTTGGCGGACACCTGTAGTCCCAGCTACTTGGGAGGCTGAGACAGGAAAATCGCTTGAACCCGGGAGGCGGAGTTTGCAGTGAGCGGAGATCCTGCCACTGCATTCCAAAAAAAAAAACAACAAAAAATGGGGAGAAGAGGGGATAGGGTTCTGGCAAATGGTGTGCAGCCCCAGAATGTCCTCTTCCGTGTTCTACCGCTCCCATTTGCCTTAATTCCTCTGCGCCCAGCACGGATGATACCATCGGGGACCTTAAGAAGTTGATTGCAGCCCAAACTGGCACCCGTTGGAACAAGATTGTTCTGAAGAAGTGGTGAGTGCAGTGGTAGAGCCACGAGGTGGACTGGTCTAGGCCTGAAGGTTTTGGTTGTGGGAGCGCAGCAGGCAGCTCTTTGCTACCCTCAGTCTGCCTCCAGGCTGAAGAGCCTCTTTAGCCTTGTCTCTTAAAGGTTTCTTTTCCTTAGGTACACGATTTTTAAGGACCACGTGTCTCTGGGGGACTGTATCCTTTGTGTGACTTTTTGAGGCAGCATCTACATACCCAGCCTCGGTTATCTTTGTTCGAAATTAAAGTCTGCATGAGATTATGCATATTAAGTGTTTAACTTACTATGTGGCACATGGTGAGCACTTAGAAAATAGGAGGAGCTAGGTAATTATTTGGTTGGGGAGGAGGGTGGTTGACTGGTGAAATAGTTTGACTTCAAGTTCAAAATACTTATTTTTGAGCTCCACCTGAGTGCTGGACAGTAGGTCAAGGTGGAGTGAGACTCAGGCATATCTATTGTACAGAAGGTACAGAACCTTATTATTATTTATTTATTTAAAAAAATTTTTTTAAGACAGGGTTTCACCATGTTGGTCAGGCTGGTCTTGAACTCCCAACCTCAGGTGATCTGCCCACCTTGGCCTCCAAAGTGCTTGGATTACAGGCATGAGCCACCACACCAGCCACCTTATTTTATTTATTTAGTGTTTTGAGACAGCCTGGAGTGTAGTGGTGCGATCTTGGCTCATTGCAACCTCCACCTTCTGGGTTCAAGCAATTCTGCCTCATCCTCCCAAGAAGCTGGGATTACAGGCATGTGCCACCACTCCCTGCTAGTTTTTGTATTTTTAGTAGAAATGGGGTTCCACCATGTTTGGCCTCAAGTGATCCTCCCGCTTTGGCCTCCCAAATTGCTGGGATTGTAGGTATGAGCTATTGGGTCTGGCCTAGAAGGAACAGAAACTTTTTTTTTTTTTTTTTTTTGAGACAGAGTTTCGATCTTGTTCCCCAGGCTGGAGTGCAGAGGCACAATCTTGGCTTACTGCAGCCTTTACTTCCTGGGTTCAAGAAATTCTCTTGTCTCAGCCTCCTGAGTAGCTGGTATTACAGGCACCTGCCACCACGCCCAGCTGATTTTTTGTATTTTTAGTAGAGATGGGGTTTCACTGTGTTGGTCAGGCTGGTGTTGAACTCCCAACCTCAGGTGATCCGCCCACCTTGGCCTCCAAAGTGCTTGGATTACAGGTGTGAACCACCATGCCCGGCCCAGAAATTTTTTTGTAAAGTTTCAGTTCTCTCCAAATAAAAATGACCCAGTCCAAAATGGTCTTTTTTAGCCCTGGGCTGAGACCTTAGGCCACCCTGACCCAGTTGTGAATGAATGAAAGGAGTGGGGATGGAACACAGAGTCAAGATTCCTTAACACCTTTCCTTCAGATGAAATCCACGATGGGATGAACCTGGAGCTTTATTATCAATAGATGAGAATTCTCATCTTCCTGCTGCCCCACTCTCCCCTCCCATCCTCACCCCCCACACTGGGATAGATGCTTGTTTGTAAAAACTCACCTTAATAAAGACTTAGATGTTCTTTGTTGTCTCTTTACATGAGAGCTGTCTAGTGATGGGTAGATTGGTCGCTCTTTGGTCATTTCTGTATCATCAATGTGCATCTGCTAAAATAAGGGTTCCAAATCAACTGGATCCATGAAGGCAGAGTAGATCAGCAGGCCGGGAGTCTGAGGGAGCCCAAAGAGAGCTCTGGGCTTTGCTGTGGGTGTGCGAAGGTCAACAGGCCCTAGGATTATAGTTACCCTAATAGATCAAAGAGCCTCCAGGTAATGACAATAGATGTAATTGTTAAGAATACAGATTCTGAAATCACACAGACCATGTGTGGAATGTCAACTCTGCCACCAAACAGCTGAATGACCCTAGGCACGTCTGCTTTCACTGGCATATTGTGAGGAGGTGTAGATGAGCTGGAAAGCATGTTTAAGCATCCACAGTTCCTGGCACCTTTTGTTTTGTTTTGTTTTGAGGGTCTTACTCTGTCACCCAGGATGGAATACAGTGGCTCGATCATAGCTCACTGCAGCCCTGAACTGGACTCACAGTGCTGCTGAATCAGCCTCCCAAGTAGCTGGGAGCCTGCTAATCGTTTTTTTTCTTTTGTGATGTAGTCTTCCTCTGTTATCCACGCTGGAGTGCAGTGGTGTGATCTTGGCTCACTGCAACCTCCGCCTCCCAGGTTCAAGCGTTTCTCCTGCCTCTGCCTCCTGAGTAGCTGGGACTACAGGCCCATACCTCCACACCCAGCTAATTTTTGTATTTTGAGTAGAGACGGGGTTTTCACCATGGTGGCCAGGTTGGTCTCCATTTCTTGACCTCATGATATACTTTCTTCAGCCTCCCAAAATGCTGGGATTATAGGCATTAGCCACCATGCCTGGCTGTGCCTGCTAATTTTTAATTTTTTTTTGAGACAGTCTTGTTCTGTCGCCCATGCTGGAGTGCAGTGGTATGATCTCAGCTCACCACAACCTCTGCCTGCAGCGTTCAAGCGATTCTCCTGCCTCAGCCTCCCAAGTAGCTGGGAGCCATCACGCCCAGCTAATTTTATATTTTTAGTTGAGACGAGGTTTCTCCTTGTTGGTCAGGCTGGTCTTGAACTCCCGACCTCAGGTGATCTGCCCACCTCAGCCTCCCAAATTATTGGAATTATAAGTGTGAGCCACCGCGCCCGGCAGAGATGGGGTTTCATCATGTTGGTAAGGCTGGTCTCAAACTCCTGACCTCAAGTCATCCAACCAACTTGTCCTCCTAAAGTGCTGGGATTACAGGTGTGAGCCACCTCACTTGGCATTTTAAAATTCTTTTGTAGAGGGTTTCCCTATGTTGCCCAGGACAGTCTTGAACTCCTGGCCTGAGATGATCCTCCAGCCTTGGCCTCCCAAAGTACTGAGATTATAAGCGTGAGCCATCAAGACAAAAGTAAGGTCCTAGTAGACAGTGAGGCAGTGTGGCACTGTAAATGTGACTATATGAGCCCAGCCTCAAGAGTTGGACCATCTAGATTTGAATTTTGATTGATCCTTAGCAATGGGATTCAGGCCCTGACACCCTCAGTTTCCTCTAAAAAGGAGCACTACCATGGCACCCACATCGCAATGAGATCATGCAATTAGAATAGCAGCATGCCTGGCACAGAATGTTATTCACTGTATTCTTTCTTTAGGTGTGGTAGATGAGACCAGTTGTACCTCCTCTGTTCCCCTGGCAACAGTTCTTTGTGTCAGCCTTGCTTCTGTCCTGTTTTATTTATTTATTATTTGTTTATTTAGTTTTTTAAATGGAGTCTCACTATCACCCAGGCTGGAATGCAGTGGTGCAGTCTTGGCTCACTGCAACCCCTGCCGCCCAGGTCCAAGTCATTCTTCTGCCTCAACCTCCGAAGTAGCTGGGATTACAGGCACCTGCCACTGCACCAGCCAATTTTTGTGTTGTAGAGACCAGGTGCCTGCCACCGCACCCAGCTAATTTATATGTATATATATATATTTTTTTTTTTTTATTAGAGACGGGGTTTCACCATCTTGGCCAGGATGGTCTTAAACTCGCGACCTCGTGATCCACCCGCCTTGGCCTCCCAAAGTTCCTGGATTACAGGTGTGAGCCACTGCACCTAGCCTGATATTGGTTTCTCAGTGTCTATATTTATTTTATATTTTACGGCAAGGTTTCTGAGCTTTGGCATTGTTGATACTTTGGGTTGGAATTTTTTTTTTTTTTTTTGAGACAGATTCTTGCTCTGTCCCCTAGGCTGGAATGCAGTGGCAAGATCACAGCTAATTGCAGCCTCTTAACTCCTAGACTCAAAAGATCATCCCACCTCAGCCTCCCAAGTAGTTGGGATTACAGGTACCGGCCACCACACCCACTGAATTTTTGTAGAGATGAGGTCTTGCCATGTTGCTAAGGCTGGTCTCAAACTCTGGGCTCAAGTGATCCTCCTGCCTTGGCCTCCTAAAGCCCTGGATTACAGGTGTGAGCCACCACTGCCAGCCCTTGCATTGAATAATTCTATGGGGGCTGTGCCTTGAAGGATGTTAGCAGCATCCTTGGCATCTAATACTGGATGCCAGTAGCCAGTAGCGTCTCCTGCTTGAAATTGTCTGAGTTTGTTGTAACAACCAAAAATATATCAAGATGTTGCCAAAAGTCCCTTGGGAAACAAAATTGCTACTAATTGAGAACTTTGTTCTGTTATTTAGTTGCCAATATTAGGGAAGGCTGAGTGAAGGGAACATGAAAATCCTACTGCTTTGCAACTCCCCCATGTCTAAAATTATCTTTTTAAAAAAGTATCTATTATTATGCTAATGCAAGCTTGTAAAACACTCAAAATGTTCTATTAAAACTTACTTTTGTTGGGGGAGGGGGACGGAGTTTCATTCTTGCCTAGTCTGTATTGCAGCCACACGATCTTGGCTCACTGCAACCTCCATCTCCTGGGTTCAAGCAATTCTCCTGTAATCCCGAATAGCTGGGATTACAGGCATGTGCTACCAGGCCCAGCTAATTTTGTATTTTAAGTAGAGATGAGGTTTCTCCATGTTGGTCAGGCTGATCTCAAACTCCCGACCTCAGGTGATCCCCCTGCCTCAGCCTCCCAAAGTGCTGGGATTACAGGCATGAACCACTATAAAAAAAAAACTTACTTTTTATTTTTTATTTTTTGAGACAAGAGTTTCACTCATCACCCAGACTGAAGTGCAGTGGTGCAATCTCGGCTCACTGCAACCTCTGCCTCCTGGATTTAAGCAATTCTCCTGCCTGGGCCTCCTGAATAGCTGAGATTATAGGCTCCCACCACCATGCCCAGCTAATATTTGTATTTTTAGTAGACACAGGGTTTCACCATGTTGGCCAGGCTGGTCTCAAACTCCTGACTTAAAGTGATCCGCCCACCTCCCAAAGTGCTGAGATTACAGGTGTGAGCCACTGCCCCGACACACCCAGCTAATTAAAAAAAAAATTTTTTTTTGGTAGAGACAAGGTCTTGCTCTGTTGCCCAGGCTGGTCTCAAACTTAGGCTCAAGTGAACCTCCTGCCTCAGCCTCCCAAAGTGTTGGTATTATAGAAGTGAGCCACCAAGTCTGGCTTGAGTGCTTTATGTGGATTAATTTAATCTTCACGTTAAACAGAAGTATGTATTATTGCTTATCTCCACTTTGCAGATGGGGAAACCAAAGTACAAAGTAACGTTAAGTAATCAGTTCAAGGTCACATAGCAAGTGGCAGTGCCAGGCTTTAAACCCGTCTGGCTCCAGACTTCTCTCAGCCTTCTACAGCCTTCGTCTCATTTGTTGTGGGCAGCTTTCCCTCTGAGTTCACTTCACTGAACCTCATTCTGTTTAACGGTCACATAGGGGTCTATGCTACGTGAACTGTAGTTGAACTCTTCACTGTCAGTGTCTTCCAATCCCGTATCTACCCATAGTTCCCCAACTCTGGGTCCCCAAATACCTCCTCTGTGTCCCCCAGGCTCTGCAGACTCTATTTTAAGTTGGCTAAAACTGAGCTCATCTCCTCCCACCTGCACCTCCTCCGTGTTCTTATATGAATGTCAATGTCTGCACCCATCGGTCACCCAGGATGGAGGAAGGAGCCAGACTGCGAGGGAATAAGGGAAGTAAACAAGTTTCAAAGGACGTGGAAGGCGTTTGGGTCCAGATCATAGGGAAAACGTTAGCCCTGCAAAATATAAAAGGGGCTGGGTTAGCTTTGGACATCTGGGGGAAACAGGTGGGAAGAGGGAGGATGGAGGAGCCAAATTTAAGCTTCGGGCACTTAGGTGCTCATCTCCAAGACAACTGCATTGCTATGGCAACAGCAGAGGCAGCACTGCCCCGCCCAAGTGCCTCCTCGGCCGCCGTAACCTCTGCACCAGCCAGACGCTGCCGCAAGGGAGGGCTTGCGGCTTGGGGAGCTCCGGGAACAGCTCAGCAAGGCGGGAATTGCTGCTGCATTAGCCAATCCGTAAGTTATATTCCGCCTGAGTGGGCTCTGCGGCGAGACGCGCCAAGAAGGGGTCGGGAGTTTTTTGGCGCTCGCCAAAGGGCGTTGAGAAGGGCGGGCCCGCTTCGCTTCGAACCACTCAGGAGCCGGGAGAGCGAGTGGGCGGGGCTGCGCTGAGGCTGCCCGGGGGTGGGGCTCGGGGGGGGGTAACGTGGGAGGGTCCGCCCAGTTCCTCTTCTACCCAATAGAGGGCCAGAAAGCCAATCCAGACGGTTGTGGCATCCAATGGGCGTCGCCGCCAGGCCCCGTTGCGGAGCGCGCCTAGCCAATCGGCGGCGGCGGCGGGCGGGCACGGGCGACGGGCGGTGCGGCTGAGGCGGAGCAGGCGCTGCGGCAGGAGGGAAGATGGCGGACGAGGAGAAGCTGCCGCCCGGCTGGGAGAAGCGCATGAGCCGCAGCTCAGGTGCCGCGGGGGTCGGGGCTGGGGCGGGACCGCGCGGGCCCGCGTAGGCAGGGCTCGAGCTCGCCCCTCAGGCGCGGCGGCAGCGCTGCCTCCCTCCCGTGGGGTCC